CAGTCGACTAACACCCAGGTGAACAGGAAAAAATGCCTGGACTAGTGCTTATATTGGCGAATTTAAGGCCAGCAAAGGTTGGTTTGAGAGATTTAAGAATCGTAGTGGCATACACAGTGTATTAAGGCATAGCAAAACTGAAAAATTCCAACCCCAACAAATGTTCAAATGTGACGAAGCAGGCCTGTTCTGGAAGAAAATGCCAAACAGGACCTACATTACTCAGGAGGAAAAGGCACTCCCAGGATACAAGTCTATGAAAGACAGGCTAACTTTCTTGTTTTGTTGTAATGCTAGTGGGGATTGTAAAGTGAAGCCTTTACTCTTGTATCACTCTGAAAATCCGTGAGTGTTCAAGAAAAACAGTGTCATCACTCATCAATACTCTTCAATATAGGTAAGTGTCATTTTAACATTTATTTATATAGTTATTGTGCATGTCTCATTGCTTTCTTTGTAGGGAAATGTACATTTCATGAAAAAAAAAAAATAATTTTTTTTAATACTTTTGGCTGTCTGGAATGGATTAATTGGATTTCCATTATTTCTTATGGGGAAAATTAATTTGGCTAACGATAATTTTGTCTAAGGATGAGCTCTCGGGAACGGATTAATATCGTTAGCCGAGGGTCCACTGTACACTCATTACTTACCTTAAAATATTTGTAGTCTTAATCTAGGGTGAGACGAGTAGTATTTATTTTAAGAAATCATGTGTGGTATGTATGGTAGCCAGCCAGGCTACCATACCAAGCCACCCCACCTACACAATATTCTATGACATTTAAGTACCACAGAGCGGTAAAATGCATATACAGTTCACTCATTACTTACCCTAAAATATCTAGTCTTAATGTAGGGTCAAAGGCGAGTAAACGAGATAAAAACGAATAAATGAAAGGGAATGAGTACATGAGGGAGGACAGGCGCAGTGTTATGTAAACAAACCAGGCGAACGCAAGTTTTGTAAACAAACCAGGTGTACATGTCCGGTTTGTGTACAAGTTACATTGTGTACAAGTTGTCTCTACATTGATATGGTAGAATAAATAGAGGAACACTCCCATTCTCACGTAACACCATTTTTAGAAGAAATGATGCTCTGAGTGAGGGTTATCCTAGGTACTTTACACACATGCTGCTATGTATGATAATCTATGTAACTATTTGTGTATACCTGAATAAACTTAAACTTACATACAAAAGAAATAATTTTCTACAGTTACCCCCCCCAGTAAAAAATTTTCTCGTATGTTGGACTGGAGAAAATATTATTATCGCCGTCACTTATACAAGTCGTCTGGCTGCCACATCTCATATTTATGTTTATTTATTAAACTGCGGGGTGTATTATCATCTTTACATGTTATGTATCATGTTTATTATATAATTTCGAAAAAATGCTGATGGATTAATGAAAATGTGTATATTAACATAATATAAAACATTTAATGAGACTCGGTGATTATTATTATTATTACTAATATGGTGTCACTCGTCCAAGTCGTCTGGCTACCACATCTCATATTTATGTTTATTTATTCTACTGTGGGGTGTATTATCTTTATATGTTATGTATTGTGTTTATTATATAATTTTGAAAAAATGTTGATGGATTAATGAAAATGTGTATATTAACGTAATATACGAAATTTAATGAGACTCGGTGATTATTGTCATTATTAATATGACGTCTCGAGACATAAGACACTCTTACTGATTTTAATGTGTACCTGCATGCCAGCACAGTGTGCAAGTTTATTTAGGTACAGGTATACACAAGTACAGTGGACCCCCGGTTCGCGATGCTATCGGTATCCGATAAATCTGGTAACCGATGCATCATATCGCCAAAAATTTGCCTCGGTTCCAGTTACAAAACCCGGTATGCAATGCGATTCGTACGAGACGTGTCCATGTGTGGCCTGAACTGCCCCATGTGTGCCAGTGTTTACAAGCCAGCCAATGTGCGTGCATCTAAATATACATTCAGTACATTCCATATTATCACTGTTTTTGGTGCTTATTTCTGCAAAATAAGTCACCATAGGCCCCAAGAGCTTCTACTGCCAACCCTTCGAGACCAAGGGTGCTAATGACTATTGAAATGAAGAAAGAGATAATTGCAAAGTACAAAAGTGGAGTGCATGTGTCGGAGCTGGTCAGGTTGTATAGTAAACCCCAATCAACCATCTCTACTATAGTGAGCAGGAAAACGGCAATCAAGGAAGCTGTTCTTGCAAAAGGTGCAACTGTGATTACGAAACAGCGACCGCAAGTGTTAGAAAATGTTGAGAGACTGTTATTGGTGTGGATAAATGAAAAACAGATAGCAGGAGAAAGCATCTCTCAAGCGATCATTTGTGAAAAGGCTAGGCAGTTGCATGACGATTTGGTAAAGAAATTGCCTGCAACTAGTGGTGATGTGAGTGAATTTAAGGCCAGCAAAGGTTGGTTTGAAAGATTTAAGAATCGTAGTAGCATACATAGTGTGATTAGGCATGGTGAGGCTGCCAGTTCAGACCACAAAGCAGCTGAAAAATATGTGCATGAATTCAAGGAGTACATAGAGGCTGAAGGATTGAAACCTGAACAAGTGTTTAATTGTGATGAAACAGGCCTGTTTTGGAAGAAATTGCCAAGCAGGACCTACATTACTCAAGAGAAAAAGCAACCTCAAGTCCTAATGGAGGGGGATTCCCCTTCTAAACAATAGGTTCAACACAATCCCCTCCTCCCATACCATCAATCATCACCAGATCTTCATTAAAGGTAAGTGTCAATTATTCTATTGTTATTGTAATTATTCTATTGCATTAAACCTAATATTTCATGTGGTAAAAGTTTTTTTTTTTCATATTTTTGGGTGTCTTGCACGGATTATTTTGATTTCCATTATTTCTTATGGGGGAAAATTGATTCGCTTTCCGATAATTTTGGTTTACGATGAGCTCTCAGGAATGGATTAATATCGTGAACCGGGGGTCTACTGTATAATTAATCAGAGTATATATAAAATATTATAGGTAGTAGGTTGGTAGACAGCAACCGCCCAGGGAGGTACTACCGTCCTGCCAAGTGAGTGTAAAACGAAAGCCTGTAATTGTTTTACATGATGGTAGGATTGCTGGTGTCCTTTTTTCTGTCTCATGAACATGCAAGATTTCAGGTACGTCTTGCTACTTCTACTTACACTTAGGTCACACTACACATACATGTACAAGCACATATATACACACCCCTCTGGGTTTTCTTCTATTTTCTTTCTAGTTCTTATTCTTGTTTATTTCCTCTTATCTCCATGGGGAAGTGGAACAGAATTCTTCCTCCGTAAGCGATGCGTGTTGTAAGAGGCGACTAAAATGCCGGGAGCAAGGGGCTAGTAACCTCTTCTCCTGTATATATTACTAAATGTAAAAGGAGAAACTTTCGTTTTTCCTTTTGGGCCACCCCGCCTCGGTGGGATACGGCCGGTGTGTTGAAAGAAAGATATATAAAATATGAAATAACTTAAAAACACTTGAAATTTTGGAGCTTCCAGACATAATGGAGAGACGCAGTGTTTACAGATCTCACATAGAATGTGAAGAAACTGGGTGGGGCGCAGTAGTTTAGGTGCCTTATCGTACTTGTGTGCCTTGAAAGTTCTTTGTACACTCTCCAAGTCTGCAATGTCGCCAGCCTTGAAGGGGGCCATTAGTGTACAGCAGTATTCCAGCCTAGAGAGCACAAGCAATTTGAAGAGAATCATCATGGGCTTGGCATTCCTAGTTTTGAAGGTTCTCATTATCCATCCTATCATTTTCCTAGCAAATGAGGTAGATACATTGTTGTGGTCTTTGAAGGCGAGATCCTCTGACATTGTCACTCCCAGGTCCTTCACATTACTTTTCCGCTCTATCGTATGGTTAGAATTTGTCGTATACCCTGATGCATTTTTAATTTCAAGTTTCCCATATCTGAGTAGTTGAAATTTCTCATTGAACTTCATATTGTTCTGAGTGGCCCATTCATAACTTTGGTTGATGTCTGCTTGGAGTCTCGCGGTGTCTTCGATGGAGGTCACTGCCATGGTAATCTGGGTGTAATCCGCAAAGGAAGACACGGAGCTATGGCTCGCATCTCTGTCTATATCAGAAATGAGGATGAGGAATAAAATGGGAGTGAGTACTGTGCCTTGTGGAACAGAGCTTTTTACTGTGGCTGCCTGGGACTTTACTCTGTTTACTATTACTCTTTGTGTTTTATTTGTCAGGAAGTTGTAGATCCATCTACCAACTTTTCCTGTTATTCCTTTATCACGCATTTTGTGTGCTATTGCACCATGGTCACACTTGTTGAAAGCTTTTGCAAAGTTGTGTATACTACATCTGTATTTTGTTTATCCTCTACAGCATCTAGGACCTTGTCATAGTGGTCCAGTAGCTGGGACAGGCAGGAGTGACCTGCTCTAAACCCATGTTGCCTTGGGTTGTGTAACTGATGGGTATCTAGGTGGTTGACTATCTTGCTTCTTAGAACCCTCTAAGATTTTTATGATATGGGATGTTAGTGCTATCGGTCAGTAGTTCTTTGCAATTGCTTTACTGCCACTTTTGTGGAGTGGTAACTTTTATGAAGGAATTCAGGGAAACCAGTTAGTTGGACTCGAGTCCTTCAGGTGGGAAGTGTAGTGTCTGTACTCTGAAGGAGAGGTGGAGATACTGAAGTTTGAGGGTAATCTGAATCAAGATGCCAGCAAACTTTTGGCAAAACAACAGCTGAATGAATGATGGTGAACGTGTTTTTTTATTTGGGTCACCCTGTCTTGGCAAGAGATGGCCTTTAAGATAGAAAAAAATTATTCTGTTTATTAGATATTTAATTTATATGACTACTTCTTTGTTAAAAATGGCATTGGCTTCATCAATCTTCTCTTCAAACCACCAAACTGCTTTCTGCTTTACCATCTCATTCCTACTGTTTCTTTTTATTACAAAAAATGTTTCAACAATACTTACATCTGGCATGGTACCATGCTTCATACCAGGAGCCAGGGCTGGAGCCAGTGGTGCCAGGGGTGTTGTTAGGGGTGGTGGTGGAGATGAAACCACTGTTGGATGACTCCCAATCTGCAAGAAAATTGTTTGCTTAGTTACTGTTTGGTATTTTTATGAATCTATTGTCCTCTTAATTCCAGCAAGTAATGTGTGTAGAATATTAGACTCTTGCACCTCTGATCAGATATAAGGTTAGAAAAATATTTCCAGATATCAGTCTAGTGTTTTTTTTTTTCTCTCAACAAGTTGGCCATCTCCTACCTAGGCAGGGTGACCCAAAAAGAAAGAAAATCCCCAAAACAAAAATACTTTCATCATTCAACACTTTCACCTCACTCACACATAATCACTGTTTTTGTAGAGGTGCCCAGATACAACAGTTTAGAGGCATATATAAAGACCATATAAAAAGTGACCTGAAATAATATAATAAACTCAAAAAATATATTTAGTGTCTAGCTGGTCTACTGCCAAGACTGTCCAGGTGTGTGGAAATACAGGAGGGGGGACACAGAAAACTGCCTCCTGTAACTACACCCACCAAGACAGCCACGAACAGTAGCCAGCTAGACAAGACCAAGTTGCCACCCAACAAGGCCACTGAGTTCTACCATCAGAGTCTTCATCTTCCTCTCAGTGGTCAGTGGTCAGTCGTCACGTAAGGTCACAGACCCTGAGCTGCTTTGGGGATTAGTGTGGACGGTTACAAAGCATGGCTTGCTTCTGCAGTGTTTTAAAAATTGAGGTTGGAGAGTTGAAGGAGGAGGTCTTGCTTCTCCAGGAGGAGATTAGGAGGCTGAAGGTCCACCTCAATGGGTCTGGGAGAGAGTGTGAGGTGGCTGGAGTTTTGGGGAATGAGGCTTCTAGCAGCGAGGTGCAGTCCAGCACCTGCTACAAGTGGCGAGTGGTAACCAGTAATGGGAGGAGAATCAGAATAAGGAAAGTTAAGAGTGAAGATCTGAAGGTAGGAAATTGCTTCTCTGTTCTTCAGGATGAATGTACTTCAGTGGCCAGTGAAGGTAAGGGTACTACTGCCCTGCTAACAGAGGTAAGCGCATTCTTGTGGTTGGTGACTCTCAGGTAAGATATATTGACCGTGCTTTTTGTAATAGGAATAAGAAGATGTGAGATAGTGTGTGCTTCCCTGGAGCTGGTGCTGGGGACATAGTTAACAGGCTGGATAACATCATGTCAGGTAATGGGAACAAGCCCATTATCTGTCTCAGTGCTGGTGGAAATGATATTGGGAAGGGTAGGAGAGAAGAGCTGCTAGATAAGTGCAGGTCAGCTATAGATTTCATTAAGTCTAAGGGAGGGGTCCCAATCATATGTAGCATCTTGCCTAGAAGGGGAGTAGGAAATGAATGGTTGTCTAGGGCAATTGGTGTAAATTGCTGACTAGACAGATACTGCAAGGAACTTGCAATCCCATTCATTGACAACTGGAACAACTTTTATGGCAAACATATGTATGCAAGGGATGGGGTACATCTCTCTGGAGCTGGGGTGGTAGCACTTGCAAACTCAATTGAGAAGGCCATTGGTGAAATTCCTATGATTTTAAACTGATAGAAGATAGAGGTATGGGTGTGTGTGGGGAAACAAGCAGGTTGCAACACTAGGGTTGGAAACAGTAAATGTATAAAAGGCATTCAGCATGAAGTTATAAATAAAGACAATAGATCAGGTCAGCAAACAAAGGGGGACAGCAGAGGGCAGCAAGGGACTAGCTCCCTTAAGGTTTACTATACTAATAGCAGGAGTGTAAGAAATAAGATAGATGAGCTAAGATTAATTGCAAGTGCAGGAAACATAGATATTATTGCTATAACAGAGACCTGGCTCAATCTGAAAGATTGAGAGATGCCCTCTGAATGTCACATACAAGGCTATAAATTATTCCACAATGACAGGGTCAACAGGAAGGGTGGTGGAGTAGCGATGTATGTCAGAGACAATTTAAATTGTTGTGTTAGACAAGATATAAAATTAGAAGTGTCAGCCACTGAATCTGTTTGGTTACAGCTTCTCGAGGGCCGAGAAAAACTAATTTTGGGTGTGATTACAGGGCCCCAAATCTGATAGGGAGTGCAGTAAACTTCTATGGGACGAAATTCGTAAGGCATCTACATACGAAAATGTTGTGCTAATGGGAGATTTCAACTATACACACATTGACTGGAGCAATTTGACAGGAAATTTAGAGTCGGGTGACTTTCTTGATACGATCCAGGATTGTTTTTTAAAACAATTTGTGACAGAGCCAACTAGGGGAAATAACCTCCTTGACTTGGTTCTTGCCAGTAGGGAAACACTAATTAATAACCTTGAGGTTAATGATGAGCTTGGGGAAAGTGATCACAAATCACTCAGTTTTAATATATCATGGAATTCCCCTAATAATGGCAATCAAGTCTCCGTCCCTGACTTTCGCTTGGCTGATTTCATAGGACTGAAAAATTACTTAGGTGGGCTGAACTGGAATGACCTGACTAAGGGTCAGGTAGGTGGCGATGGTTGCCGATATGACGCTTTCCAGGGCATAGTTCTAGCTGCTCAGTCAAATTATGTTCCAAATAGGGAAATCAGATCAAACAAAAATGATCCTAAATGGATGAACAATAGATTAAAATATCTGATTGGTCAAAAGAGAGGCATATATAGGCAAATCAAAAGAGGAGAGGGGCAATTAAGAAATCGATATATTCAGTTAGAGAGAGAAATAAAAAAGGGTATTAGAAAAGCAAAAAGAGATTATGAGGTTAAAGTTGCAAGAGAATCGAAAACTAACCCAAAAGGATTCTTTCAGGTATACAGAAGTAAGATTAGGGGTAGAAACGCCCATTCAAAAGTTCCTCGGGTCAGCTCACTGACCGTGATAAGGAAATGTGTAGAATTTTTAACACACACTTCCTCTCAGTTTTTACACAGGAGGATACCAGCGATATTCCAGAAATGATAAATTATGTAGAACAGGACGATAATAAACTGTGCACGATTAGGGTCACAAGTGACATGGTCCTTAGGCAATTTTTTTTTTTTTTTTTTTTTTTTTCAACAAGTCGGCCGTCTCCCACCGAGGCAGGGTGACCCAAAAAAGAAAGAAAACAATTTTCTTCTTATTATTCTTTTTAGTAATCTTTACAGGAAAAGGGGTTACTAGCCCATTGTTCCCGGCATTTTAGTTGACTTTTACAACACGCATGGCTTACGGAGGAAAGATTCTTATTCCACTTCCCCATGGATATAAAAGGAAAAGTAATAAGACCAAGAACTATTAAGATAAAATCAAAGAAAACTCAGATGAGTGTGTATAAATAAACGTGTACATGTATGTGTAGTGTGACCTAAGTGTAAGTAGAAGCAGCAAGACGTACCTGTAATCTTGCATATTTATGAGACAGACAAAAGACATCAGCAATCCTACCATCATGTAAAACAATCACAGGCTTCGTTTTACACTCACTTGGCAGGACGGTAGTACCTCCCTGGGCGGTTGCTGTCTACCAACCTACTACCATACCTTAGGCAAATAGATAAATTAAAACCTAACAAATCCCCAGGCCCTGATGAACTGTATGCAAGGGTTCTAAAGGAATGTAAAGAGGAGCTTAGCAAACCTTTGGCTAATCTTTTCAACATATCACTACAAACTGGCATGGTGCCAGATAAGTGGAAAATGGCAAATGTGATGCCTATTTTCAAAGCAGGCGACAGGTCCTTAGCTTCGAACTATAGACCAATAAGCCTAACCTCCATAGTGGGAAAATTTATGGAATCAATAATTGCCGAGGCAGTTCGTAGCCACCTTGAAAAGCATAAATTAATCAACGAATCTCAGCATAGTTTTACAAAGGGGCGTTCCTGCCTTACGAATTTATTAACTTTTTTCACTAAGGTATTTGAGGAGGTAGATCATGGTAATGAATATGATATTGTGTATATGGACTTCAGTAAGGCTTTTGACAGGGTCCCACATCAGAGACTACTGAGGAAAAATAAAGCACATGGAATAGGAGGAGAAATTTTTTCCTAGATAGAGGCATGGTTGACAAATAGGCAGCAGAGAGTTTGCATAAATGGGGAGAAATCAGAGTGGGGAAGCGTCACGAGCGGTGTTCCAAAGGGGTCAGTGTTGGGCCCCCTGCTGTTCACAATCTACATAAACGACATAGATGAGGGCATAAAGAGCGACATCAGCAAGTTTGCCGATGACACCAAAATAGACCGTCGAATTCATTCTGACGAGGACATTAGAGCACTCCAGGAAGATTTGAATAGACTGATGCAGTGGTCGGAGAAGTGGCAGATGCAGTTTAATATAGATAAATGCAAAGTTCTAAATGTTGGACAGGACAATAACCATGCCACATATAAACTAAATAATGTAGATCTTAATATTACGGATTGCGAAAAAGATTTAGGAGTTCTGGTTAGCAGTAATCTGAAACCAAGACAACAGTGCATAAGTGTTCGCAATAAAGCTAATAGAATCCTTGGCTTCATATCAAGAAGCATAAATAATAGGAGTCCTCAGGTTGTTCTTCAACTCTATACACCCTTGGTTAGGCCTCTTTTAGATTATGCTGCACAGTTTTGGTCACCATATTACAGAATGGATATAAATGCTCTGGAAAATGTACAAAGGAGGATGACAAAGTTGATCCCATGTATCAGAAACCTTCCCTATGATGATAGACTAAGGGCCCTGAATCTGCACTCTAGAAAGACGTAGAATTAGGGGGGATATGATTGAGGTGTATAAATGGAAGACAGGAATAAATAAAGGGGATGTAAATAGTGTGCTGAAAATATCTAGCCTAGACAGGACTCGCAGCAATGGTTTTAAGTTGGAAAAATTCAGATTCAGGAAGGATATAGGAAAGTATTGGTTTGGTAATAGAGTTGTGGATGAGTGGAACAAACTCCCAAGTACAGTTATAGAGGCCAGAACGTTGTGTAGCTTTAAAAATAGGTTGGATAAATACATGAGTGGATGTGGGTGGGTGTGAGTTGGACCTGATAGCTTGTGCTACCAGGTCGGTTGCCGTGTTCCTCCCTTAAGTCAACGTGACCTGACCTGACTAGGTTGGGTGCATTGGCTTAAGCCGGTAGGAGACTTGGACCTGCCTCGCATGGGCCAATAGGCCTGCTGCAGTGTTCCTTCGTTCTTATGTTCTCTCTAGTTTTCTTTCCATAAATACTGCTTAACACATTTTTAATAAATACTAAGCTGTGAAAGAAGTTGGTGCATACAGTTTCATGGGGTTAAGGTAAAAAGAGAAAAAAAAAAAAACTGGAAAGTTTATGATGGTTTTTCAAAACCACGAAGAAAGATTCAAAGATATACTGTACACATGCTTACTGGCCCATGCTGAAATTTGATATGCCAAAATTTAATCTAGGTCTCCAAAATAAACAGCTCAATTAGGAGCTCAAATATTCCACAGACAAGCCCTACTAGATGGAGATCCCAAGACAAACTTAGGAATTGAATTTTATAACACTGGGAAAACACTCTGGAGACAACTTCAATATGCAAGACACTGAAGCATTATCATCATGACTCAAGGTAGAGTACACAATTGAATGCCATAATCATGTCCAATGTTACAGTAACTAGCATTACAACACTGTCCACTCTTTGTTGGTAATCACAGTTTACAAGAATACCAGCATGGTAAGGAAGGTGTGGCAAAGCCAGGTTAGTTTTAAACTTCATCTGTAATTACCTTTGTAGCTACAGAAGCAAGAGTAGCTTGTGGCATCTTGTCTTAAATATAGCTGTTCCTACTAGCTCACAGGCTTCCGTAGTCAAGATTTCTATTATAGATTACATTTTGTCCAAACCAATATCTTTCACCCAATGATAATGCTCCATTTTCAGCAAAAAATACATCATACGAATGCCTTGCAAAATTTTTTTTTTAGTTTTTTTTTTTACCATATTTGCCTCTTAAGAAAAAAGATAATTAGTACTAAAAATAACACTACACACGAATAAGGTGTTAGTGTTTACAATAATAAATTTATTATTGAATGAATTGCTAATGAAGGAGTAGAGAAGAGGTAGTAGAGGGGAAAAGAATAAGGAGGATGAGGGGAAGGGGAAGGGAAGGGAAGGGAAGGTAAGGAAGTGAGGGGAGATTGGAAATGAGTGGCAGAGGGGGAAAAGTGGGGAGAGGAAGATAGGGAGAAAGTGGGGGGAGAGTAAAACGAAATGACAGGGAAATGAGAACAAAATCAAGACATCTGATACATACTTGTGTAGTAAGGATGGATGCGAGTGGGTTGGCAAGCGTGGTGTTGGCACTGACTTGGGCAGGAACGGCAGGTGCTTTTACTTGAACTATTCTTGTACTTCCAGCATTAATGCTTCTGCTTACAGCTGAAGTATAATTACCAATAATTAAGTCTACTTAACCACACTAGGAATACATGCATACAAGGTATACCTGTAATTGAATCAGGAGAATAAATGGATAAAGAAAACATAAGAAAATAAGTTACTAGACATACTAATGCATTTTGTAAATGCCATATTGCATGAAAGATTTACTTGCAACATCTGCCACAATGCTTCCCTATGGCAGATATTGCAAGTGTATGGAATAGGTGGAAGTTACAAAATGCTGTAAAGAGTTTGAGAATATTTTTAGATGGGGTTGTAAAAGAAGTAAATGTGCATAGAATATGAGTAAATGGGATGATCAGGTCTGTCTGGGCTCCAAGCAGGAATATCTTACCTTTGATATACCTCTGAAGAATTTCGCGAGTATATCTACTCTCTGAGCCCAGCCATGGGCCAGGCTTGTCTGGTGCTTGCCTGGTCAACCAGGCTGTTGCTGCTGGAGGCTCGCTGCCCCACATATCCATCACAGCCTGGTTGATCTTGCACCTGGTGAAGATACTTGTCTATAGTTTCCTCTTGAAGGCTTCAACACTTGTTCCAGCAATGTTTCTGATATCTTCTGGCAAGATGTTGAAAAGTCTGGGACCCCAGATGTTGATACAGTGTTCCCTTATTGTCCCCACCGCACCCCTGCTCCTCACTGGGTTTATTTTACACTTCCTCCCATATCTCTCACTCCAATATGTTATGGCAGTGTGCAGATTTGGGACCAAGCCCTCGAGTACCTTCCAGGTATTTATTATCATGTACCTCTCTCTCCTCTGCTCCAATGAATACATGTTGAAGACTTGCAGGCGTTCCCAGTAGTTTAGGCGCTTTACTGGCTCAATGTGAGCCGTAAACAATCACTATTTGTTCCAGCTCCGATATTTCTCCTGCCCTGAATGGGGCCGTCAGCACTGAGCAATATTCTAAGTGAGGGAGCACTAGCGATTTGAAGAGTGTCACCATCGGCATTATTTCCCTTGTTTTGAAAGTTCTCAATACCCACCCAGTCATTTTCCTGGCTGTCGTGATCTTTGTCTTGTTATGGCCTTTAAAAGAAAGGTCGGCTGACATAAATATTCCTAGGTGTTTTGTGTGTTCCTTACGTTCTATTTGGCGACCCTCTTGAGTTTTGTAAATAGTTCTCCTTTTGAGTTCTTCATTCTTTCCATATCTAAGCAGCTGGAACTTATCACCATTGAACATCATGTTGTTTTCCACTGCCCACTGGAAAACCCTGTTTATGTCTTCCTGTACTTTTTCAGTGTCCTCTACTGTACTGACTTTCATGCTTATTTTAGTGTCATCTGCAAATGATGATACAAAAGTGTGCTGGGTGTTTTTGTCTATGTCTGCTATGAGGATGAGGAACAGCAGAGGTGCCAGGACAGTGCCTTGGGGCACTGAGCTTTTGACCTCGCTGATGCTGGATCTTGCCCTGTTCACTACTACTTTTTGTGTTGTGTGTGTTAGGAAACCGAAAATCCATCTGCCTACCTTCCCCGTAATGCCCATGGCCTTCATTTTGTGCGCTATCACTCCATGATCGCATTTGTCAAACGCCTTTGCAAAATCTGTGTAAATCACATCTGCGTTTTGGTCGTCTTCCAGTGCCTCTAATTCTGTCATAATGGTTCAGCAGCTGTGACAGACATGATCGCCCTGCTCTAAAACCATGATGGTTCGGGTTACGTTGGTTGTGCTGCTCCATAAAATTTGTAACCTGCAGTCTCGTCACTCTTTCGAAGATTTTTATGATGTGAGAGGTTAGGGCTACTGGTCTAATTTTTAGCTAGTGCTCTACTACCTTCCTTATGGAGCTATGTCTGCACTCTTTAAAAGCCTCTGGTATTTCACCTAGATCTAAGCTCTTTCTCCAAAGAATATGGAGGGCTCGTGCTAGTGGTAATTTGCATTTCTTTATAAATAGAGCATTCCATGAATCTGGTCCAGGTGCTGAGTGAGTGGGCATGTTTTCCATTTCTTTTTTGAAATCTACAGGATTTGTACTAATGTCAGTTAGTTTGTCTGCGTGGCCTTCTTCTGGAGTGAAAAATATTTTTGCATTTTCTACCTTACTGTCATTTAGTGGGTTGCTGAACACCGACTCATACTGTTCTTTCAGGATTTCACTCATTTCCTGTTCGTCGTCAGTATACGAGTCTCCTCTCAGTAGTGGTCCAATTCTACAGGTAGTTCTTAGCTTGGATTTTGCGTAGGAATAGAAATATTTTTGGTTTCTTGCAATGTCCTGTATAGCCTTTTGTTCCCTTTGTACTTCTTCTGTGAGGTATGACATCCTAAGTTTTTGCTCTAATTCAGTGATGTCTCTGCTAAGTCTATCTTTCCTCTGTTGTAGCATATTTGTGTTTTTAAGCAGTTCAGTAACCCGTTTTCTTCTTCTGTACCATCTCCTACGCTCTCTTTCTATATCTGACCTTCCTCTGGGTTTTCTCAATGGTACATGTTTCATACACATTTTGTATGCTTCTGTATTCAGCTTCTCTAGGCACTGGTGGGGATTTAGGGTGCTCATGTCTGATTCCTCCCTCTCCTATGGCTGGACCGACATGTACTAAATTTGTTTCACTCTGCAATATAAATATTTTAACCCTTTGACTGTTTTGGTCTTATATACATGTCTTACAAGCCACCGTTTTTGACATATATACGTACTTACAAATTCTAGTGGCTTCTAATCAAGCAGGAGAAACCTGTTGGCCCACATGTGAGAAAATGAGTGTGTGGTCAGTGTGCACCATATAAAAAAAATCCTGCAGCACACAGTGCATAATGAGAAAAAAAAAAATCCATTTTTTTTTAAATTAAAATGCCGACTTTGTGGTCTATTTTCGTATAGTATTTATGGTTGTATTCTCATTTTCTTGGTCTCATCTGATAGAATGGAAAACGTATTATTGAAATAAAGGTGATTTTTTGATTGGTTTTACTAGGAAAAAAACCTTGAAATGGAGCTCAAGGTAGGGGAAATGTTTGATTTTTGCCGATGTTCAAAAGTAAACAAATGATGTCATTTTCCAATAAATGTCCAAGTAGCCATTCTAATATGCAGTCAATGGGTTGACATTATTTATACAATTATTACAATGTTGAAGTAGTCTGCTTAACAGTATATCTTCTATTTTTTTATTTGAATAAAGATTCAAAATAGAAAGCAAGAGTAATATCAGAGGGGCCTGGAGACGTGACTGATGAACAAAGAAAATGATATTTTGGAGCCAGAAATTTCGGCATTGTTCATTCTGGACCCTATTTTGAAATTGTCATTTTTTAATTTTCCTGAAATTGGCCAAATTGCAAATTTCTGACCACATTATTAGGTAGTTGAAATCGGTAAATGGGCAGTTTCTTGTACTCAATCGATAGAAAAAATGGAGTTATAAAGAAATAGCTATGAGTTTGGTTGAGTGGAACAATGGAATTAGCCGAAAATAGGGCTCAAAGTGGGCGAAATCACCGATTCGTAAATATCGCCAAGGTCGCTAACTTCGCGAGAGCGTAATTCCGTCAGTTTTCCATCAAATTTCATTGTTTTGGTGTCATTACAATTGGGAAAAGATTCTCTATCATTTCATGGGATTTTTTTTTTTTTTTTTTAAATTTTGCAACACCAGGAGACACCTCAGGATTTGGGGTTGCGACAGTCAAGGGGTTAATAGTTCTGAGGATCATCAACCATGTGATCATCTCAGATAAGGTTTCCTAAATACAAAAGAAAATACAACCATATACTGAAAGTACAGTAGGAAGAAGTTCATAAGATTTATCTGCCATTTTACATGTTCAGGACACAGAAAAGACCAGTAACCCTGTGAGAGTAGAAAACATTTGACTGGATTCCATTTCACACTTGAAACATAGGGCAATGGTGCCTTCCTGGGCAGTTACAGTTTAACAAACCACACCTATAAAACAAATATTAATTGATATATTTACCTGTCTTTGGTAGTGTGAGCTTTGGCCCATTAGAGGAGTTGACAATGCTAATAACCTGAGGTTGTGTTGTAGTAGTAGTGACCACTTTTGGCTGAATCTTCATAGTTTTAGTAATGCGACCTCCCTTCGTGCTTCCTGATGCATTGGTTCCTATGAAAAAAAAAATCAGAAATTATCTATTGCAGTTTACACCACGTAAATAACTTAAAAGATTAATTCTCCTCATTTGTCATCTGTGTGCTTTAGGCCAAGGCATTATCTACCCCACAATTTTTTTTTTTTTTTTTTTTTTTTTTTTTTTTTTTTTTTTTTGAGACTTGCCATGTATAGCTACTTCAAGGTCTGATATTCATAATATTCTCAAATGTCACAGTGCCCTTTCATTATATACATGAAATAGTCAGCAAAATGCATCTATTTCATGTACATAATGATGAAACCATAGAGAAATTATTTACCAACTGCCCTTCAAAAAGCTTGTTGAAAATCAACACATGTTGTGAATGTTATGTAGAGAATATGGAATAAAGAAATTAAAAAAGTGTAATTATATGAAAGGCACAAGCGAGTGGAAAAGTGATTATAGAGATGGTTTAGTCATTTAGAAAGGATGGAGTAAGACTGGCTGATAAAGAAGGTATGAATCAGGAAGGATGGTGTATAGTAGTGGTTCCCCCCCTCCCCCCTTGGATCATGATCCATATGAAAGTCACAGGAATGTTCCCGAGAATCATGTGGGTAAAAATATTTTTTGGCAATTTTATATAAATTAAATTTGTGAGTAAATAAATATCAGAATGACAGAGAATGAATAAAAAGGTGTTGAGCAAAATCTGTTTTATGACGAGTAAATGTAATAGGGTGTGTCTGGTTATTTTAAGTGTATGTTTAATAGTTTCTTATCAATTCTACTGTACATTTTTCAAGTTCTATTAATTTCCTGATGCATTTCATTAAAAAAAAAAATATTTAATTTCAAACTTTTCCTTTTCCAACTTTAATGTTTAATGAAAAAAAAAAAGACAATACAAATGACAGTATAAGCCTGAGTTTTCAAAATAAGTCATACTCTGCTTCAATGAGCAGGGTATGACTTCAGTGCCTATAGTCTTCACCTCTGAAAACTTGTGAATAAAATTTCTGGCTTTCACATTTGTGCTGGGGTCGAAATCCAAGAAAGTAGCATGTTCATTTCAATTTGGCTCATTCAAATTTTGTTGAAAAACTAGAGTTACTGGAAAGCTGAAGAAAATTAAAACCAAGTCAGTTTAATGCTCCCTCGAGTACAGTTTTTCTATGAAGAAAACCTCTTTCGTATCATTAAAGTTATGTGGAATAATGCAATATGAAAAAAAGTAACAGTGGCAAGGGTGAAATCTGTGTGTTGCTATGGAGGTAGAGTTGGTATCACTTACCAACAATAGCATCAAACATCAAAGATATTTTGGCTCAAGCTTATCGTGGCACTTAAAAAAGAAAAAAAAAAAAAAAGAATTTTTCATTCAGTACAGATGAATATGTGGCCATTGCAAATGACCCTCAATTCATTATTTTTGATATAAAAAGATACAAAGGAGGAACTACCTCAGTTGTGGTAGATGACAACACTGAAAGAAGACATTTTTCAACACTGAGAATTTTTTTTTTTTTTAAAGAAGCACAACCCTGAGTGGTTGAGCTATCTGGCTGTGTGCACTGATGAAGTTCCATCTATGACAAAGTAATGTGGCATATATTTAGAGGACAGGAAAACATGACCTCTAAACATGCGCAACCAAAAGTTCTTGTGGCTCTCGATGATGCAATTCATATTGCAAGTCAAGGCTAGAGCTTTGAACTTGTCCATTTCCATAAAATGAGTGAAAAGATGGGATATGGTCACTGCGTCTTGCTGTTCCACTCCATGTCTATTGGGTATCTCAAGGGGCATTTCTTGAAAGTGTTATTAAACTAAAAGCTGAAATTTACAGTTTTCTAAAGGAGAAGAATGTAATGGCCAACTGCTTCGGAGAAGCTGCTTGGCTGGTAAAGCCGACTTAAACGACATCTGGCACACAAATGAACAGAATTTAGACAGGCAGAGTTAAAATCAAACTATGGTTGATATAAAAAAAAAAATAGCACCCCAGAACAGTGATGTGCTCAAAGATTTAAAACTAAGTGCTCCAATCCCTTGGGTCATCAGGTCAGAAAAGATTGTATTTAGGATAGTGATCAGAAAAAGCTTGAGAAATGCTGGGGTAGAAGATATATCAAGAATGGTTGAAAGGAAGATGCGAGTGGAGGGGCACGAGCATCCATTAAGCATGTGTGAGAACATAAGATCAGAGTGGAAACAAGTAGTTCTTAGGATATGACTTGTTGGAGAAGGTAACATATATGAAGAGATTCTGGGAAACTGGTTACATGGACTTAAAGTTTGGAGGTGGGAAGCACAGTGAGAACACACTGAAAGATGAGCAGGGATGATGTGGTTCACTGAGCCATTTGAATTATGTATCTGCACTTCTGGAGAGAGCGCTAGGGAATGAGCGTTTGTAAGGCATTTTAACCCCTTGAGGGTCCAGACCCCCAATCTGAAAATTCCTCACAGGGTCCAAGAATTTAAAAAAGTGTTTTCTTATGAAATGGTAGATAATCTTTTTCTGAAGGTAATAAAACAAAAAGTACAAAATTTGATCAAAAACTGACGAAATTATGCTCTAACGAATTTTGCTATGTCAGTGATATTTACACGTCGACGATTTTGCCCATTTTGAGTCCTATTTTCGGCCAATTACATTGTTCCATTAGACCAAATTCTTAGCTAGTTTGCTAATATGTGTTCCATTTTATCTACTGATGACAAGAAATTGCCCAATCAACTACCCAATGAAGTGATCAGAAACTGGTACATTAATTTGGCCAATTTCACACAAAGTTCAAAATATTCCAATTTTACAACAGGGTCCAAAATAAACAATGCAGGCACTAAAATAACATTTCTTCTGTTTATTAGTTACATTTCCAGGTTTTACAGATGAATTCCATTTTGATTTTTTATTTACACGAAGAATTTTCATTAATACCAAAAAATAGATGATGATTTACTGTTATGCAACACTGTATTAATTGTATAAATAATATCAGTTAAAAACAGAGTAGGGGAGTTAGTAGATGGGGAGATGGAGGTTTTGGGTGGGTGGCGAGAATATTTTGAGGGAGTTTTAAATGTCGACGAAGAAAGGGAGGCGGTAATCTCATGCACTGGCCAGGGAGGTATACCATCTTTTAGGAGTGAAGAAGAGCAGGATGTAAGTGTGGGGGAGGTGCGCGAGGCATTACATAGAAAGAAAGGGGGTAAAGCAGCTGGAACTGACGGGATCATGACAGAAATGTTAAAAGCAGGGGGGGACAGTGTTGGAATGGTTGGTATTTTTGTTTAATAAATGTATGAAAGAGGGGAATGTACCTAGGCATTGGCAGAGAGCGTGTATAGTCCCTTTATATAAAGGGAAGGGGGACAAAAGAGATTGTAAAAATTATAGAGGCTCAGGTTAGGGTGTGTAGAAGAGAGGGAGACTACTTTCCAGTAAAAGTAGGTCTTAGACAGGGATGTGTAATGTCACCATGGTTGTTGAATATATTTATAGATGGGGTTGTAAAAGAAGTAAATGCTAGGGTATTCGGGAGAGGGGTGGGATTAAATTATGGGGAATCAAATACAAAATGGGAATTGACACAGTTACTTTTTGCTGATGATACTGTGCTTATGGGAGATTCTAAAGAAAAATTGCAAAGGTTAATGGACGAGTTTGGGAGTGTGTGTAAAGGTAGAAAGTTGAAAGTGAACGTAGAAGAGAGTAAGGTGATGAGGGTATCAAATGATTTAAATAAAGAAAAATTGGATATCAAATTGGGAAGGAGTAGTATGGAAGAAGTGAATGTTTTCAGATACTTGGGAGTTGACGTGTCGGCGGATGGATTCATGAAGGATGAGGTTAATCATAGAATTGATGAGGGAAAAAAGGTGAGTGGTGCGTTGAGGTATATGTGGAGTCAAAAAACGTTATCTATGGAGGCAAAGAAGGGAATGTATGAAGTATAGTAGTACCAACACTCTTATATGGGTGTGAAGCTTGGGTTGTGAATGCAGCAGCAAGGAAACAGTTGGAGGCAGTGGAAATGTTCTGTCTAAGGGCAATGTGTGGTGTAAATATTATGCAGAAAACTCGGAGTGTGGAAATTAGAAGGTGTGGAGTTAATAAAAGTATTAGTGAGAGGGCTGAAGAGGGGTTGTTGAGATGGTTTGGTCATTTAGAGAGAATGGATCAAAGTAGAATGACATGGAGAGCATTTAAATCGGTAGGAGAAGGAAGACGGGGTAGGGGTTGTCCTCGGAAAGGTTGGAAGGAAGGGGTAAGGGAGGTTTTATGGGCGAGGGGCTTGGACTTCCAGCAGGCGTGCACGAGTGTGTTCGATAGGAGTGAATGGAGATGAATGGTATTGAGACCTGACGATCTGTTGGAGTGTGAGCAGGGTAATATTTAGTGAAGGGATTCAGGGAAACCATCTATTTTTATATAGCCGGACTTGAGTCCTGGAAATGGGAAGTACAATGCCTGCACTCTAAAGGAGGGGTTTTGGGATATTACCAGTTTGGAGGGATATGGAAACATGAACACATATGCAGTTTAATGTGATCCTTTATTGACAACGTTTCACCCACACAGTGGGCTTTTTCAAGTCACACACAGATCTACCTGGGGTGGAAGGTACGGGAGTATTTATAGACATGTTCAGAATGTTGAGGTCAGGTGGAGAATGCCGCATCTGATGATCTACTGGGTGGGGTTATAGTCTTGGGTAGCTTAGCAGAGGGTATTGGACAAGTTGTGAGTAGATCTTCTGCAGTGTTCTATGTTCTTATGTGGGATAGTGATGAAGAAGTTTCTTGGCGAGTGGTTCAGCTATGTTATAGAAGCCGTTGTTCTGGTTGAAATTGTTGGTTATAGAGATAAGCGATGATTCCAGGATTCTTCGGTATTGAGTGTTGTCTTCTGTGGCGATAAGTCTTGAGTTTCTGTAGTTAATTAAATGGTTATGTGAATTGTGATGTTGTACACAGGCATTCCTTGTATCGTCAGTCCTGCTTGCATATTGGTGTTCTGAAATACGTGTTTGGAGGTCTCTTGATGTTTCGCCTACATATAATTTGTTGCAGTCATTACAAGGGATTATGTATACCCCTGCAGAGGATGGAAGCTTGTCCTGTCTACTACTGGTGATGTCCTTGATGGTCGTGGTTGTGGAGGTAGATACTTGGAATGATGTATTGGAAAAGATGTTGGAAACATGTTTGGCAATAGAGTTGGTTAGGAGGACTATGTATCTCTTCTCGGCAGTGTCTTCTCTGGGTGTGTTGAAGATGTTTAATGCCCGCCGTCTGCAGTCTCTGATGAAGTGACGAGGATAGTGGAGTTTAGAAACCCTGGAATCATCGCTTATCTCTATAACCAACAATTTCAACCAGAACAACGGCTTCTATAACATAGATGAACCACTCGCCAAGAAACTTCATCGCTATCCCACATAAGAACATAGAACACTGCAGAAGGTCTACTCACAACTTGTCCAATACCCCCCTGCCAAGCTACCCAAGACTCTATAACCCCACCCGGTAGATCATCAGATGCGACATTCTCCACCTGACCTCAACTTTCTGAACATGACTATAAATACTCCCGTACCTTCCACCCCAGGTAGATCTGTGTGCGACTTGAAAAAGCCCACTGTGTGGGTGAAACGTTGTCAATAAAGGATCACATTAAACTGCATATGTGTTTATGTTTCCACTGTGTCGGTATTTTATACCATTTATTTTCATTGGAGGGATATGTTGTGTATCTTTATACGTATATGCTTCTAAACTATTGTGTTCTGAGCACCTCTGCAAAATCAGTAATTATGTGTGAGTGAGGTGAAAGTGTTGAATGATGATGAAAGTATTTTCTTTTTGGGGATTTTCTTTCTTTTTTGGGTCACCCTGCCTCGGTGGGAAACAGCCGACTTGTTGAGGGGGGGGGGGGGGGGAGTTTACCGAGTATACCAGGAAAAGTGTACGGTAGGGTTATTATTGAAAGAATTAGAGGTAAGACAGAATGTAGAACTGCAGATGAGCAAGGTGGTTTTAGAGTGGGTAGGGGATGTGTAGATCAAGTGTTTACATTGAAGCATATATGAGAGCAGTATCTAGATAAAGGTAGGGAAGTTTTTATTGCATTTATGGATTTAGAAAAGGCATATGATACTGGATAGAGGAGCAATGTGGCAGACGTTGCAAGTATATGGAATAGGTGGTCAGTTACTAAATGCTGTAAAGAGTTTTTATGAGGATAGTGAGGCTCAGGTTAGGGTGTGTAGAAGAGGAGACTATTTCCCGGTAAAAGTAGGTCTTAGACAGGGATGTGTAATGTCACCATGGTTGCTTAATATATTTATAGATGGGGTTGTAAAAAGAAGTAAATGCTAGGGTGTTCAGGAGAGGGGTGGGATTAAATTAAGGGGTATTAAATACAAAATGGGAAGTGACAGTTACTTTTTGCTGATGATACTGTGCTTATGGGAGATTCTAAAGAAAAATTGCAAAGGTTAGTGGGCGAATTTGGGAGTGTGTGTAAAGGTAGAAAGTTGAAAATGAACATATAAAAGAGTAAGGTGATGAGAGTATCAAATGATTTAAATGAGAGTATCAAATGATTTAGATAAAGAAAAATTTGATATGAAATTGGGGAGGAGGAGCATGGAAGAAGTGAATGTTTTCAGATATTTGGGAGTTGACGTGTCAGTGGATGGATTTATGAAGGATGAGGTTAATCATAGAATTGATGAAGGATAAAAGGAGAGTGGTGCAGTTAGGTATATGTGGAGGCAAAAAATGTTATCTATGGAGGCAAAGAAGGGAATGTATGAAAGTATAGTAGTACCAACACTCTTATATGGGTGTGAAGCTTGGGTTGTAAATGCTGCAGTGAGGAGGCAGTTGGAGGCATTAGAGATGTTTTGTCTAAGGGCAATGTGTAGTATAAATATTATGCAGAAAATTCGCAGTGTGGAAATTAGGAGGTGTGGAATTAATAAAAGTATTAGTCAGAGGGCTGAAGAGGGTTTATTGAGGTGGTTTGGTCATTTAGAGAAAATGGATCAAAGTAGAATGACAGAGAGCGTATAAAGCTGTAGGGGAAGGAAGGCGGGGTAGGGGTCATCCTCGAATAGGTTGGAGGGAGGGAGTAAAGGTGTCGTGGGCGAGGGATTTGGATTTCCAGCAAGCGTGCGTGAGAGTGTTAGATAGGAGTGAATGGAGACAAATAGTATTTGGGACCTGACGAGCTGTTGAGTGTGAGCAGGGTAATATTTAATGAAGGGATTCAGGGAAACCGGTTATTTTATATAACCAGACTCGAGTCCTGGAAATGGGAAGTACAATGCCTGCACTCTAAAGGAGGGGTTTGAGATATTGGCAGTTTGGAGGGATATACAGTGGACCCCCGCATAACGATCACCTCCGAATGCGACCAATTATGTAAGTGTATTTATGTAAGTGCGTTTGTACGTGTATGTTTGGGGGTCTGAAATGGACTAATCTACTTCACAATATTCCTTATGGGAACAAATTCGGTCAATACTGGCACCTGAACATACTTCTGGAGTGAAAAAATATCGTTAACCGGGGGTCCACTGTATTGTGCATTTTTATACGTATATACTTCTAAACTGTTGTATTCTGGGCACCTCTGCAAAAACAGTGATTATGTGTGAGTGAGGTGAAAGTGTTGAATGATGATGAAAGTATTTTCTTTTTGGGTCACCCTGCCTTGGTGGGAGACGGCCGACTTGTTGGAAAAAAAAAAAAAAATTATCAGCACATTTGTGAATGAACATCAGACCCCCACCAGCTGACGTGTATTGGACGAGTAATGTGATTCATTTGAATATCAGCAAAAATCAAACATTTCTGCTACTTTGAGCTCAATTTCATGCTATTTTCAATACTATTGCCAATCAAAATCGTCCCTATTTCTCTAATATATCTTCCATTCTATCAAATGAAACCAGGAAACTGTGAATACAACTGTAAAAACCATACAAAAATACACCACAGAGTTGCTGTTTTAATCCGAAAACAGCTTTTTTTTTTTCATTATGCATTGCTTCCTGCAGGATTTGTTTTGTATAGTGCACACTTACCACATAGATGCATTCTCTCATATCTAGACCCAAATTTACTGCTCACAGCTTATATGAGAGAGATGAGCTCATGACATTCACATGACCCTCAAGGGGTTAATTTCTTTGGTCTCCTTGCCTCGGTGGGAAATGGCCAATTTGTTAAAAACTGTATACTTGCCATTCCTTGTAGTGATGGTTACAACTTTGATTGGCCGAGAGATTTGACTGGCAGTGGTACCATTCCCTGGTTGTCTTGTCTGGTGTTGGTGTTGTGCAGGAGAAAGCACAACTGTGGTGGCAGGTAGACTAACTGGTGAAGGTGGTTGTGGGCTATGTGGGGGTGAACTCTCAACGTGCGGTGGTGTGATTGGTGGAGTGTCCACCATGTCCTGAGGATACCATCAGAAAAAAAAGTTAAGGATGCATTATAACTGCTGAATTATATTTATAAACTTTTTACTGAAAGGGAGATACAGATAGGTGACAAGAAAGTTTGTAAAAAACTGACAATATAATATTCAGTGTAAAAAAGCTTTTGAACTGCAGGATAATTAAATTTTGAAACTTCTCCAAATACATATAAATGCAATATGAAACAAAATTAATAGTTATCAAGTCAATTTGTAAATATAACAGTATATTTATGGAATAAACTAAACTCATAACAGTCATTCAGCAGCCATTTACAAATTTCCTTTAGTCCTACTATAAACTTGATAACCTTACATTTCTCTCTTGTACCGCCTGCATCAAATGTTCAAATATGAGTCACCTTGTTAAAGGTCTGTAAAAAAAAAAAAACTTCCATACCCATGAGAATTTATAAAATTTTGTATATGACCAATATGTTACAGCAGTATCCCTGTGATATTCGAATTATAAAAAACATCAAAATTTATAAATCTATAACAAAATACTGCTTTGCATTCCCACAATGAGTAAGCAGCATGACATTCTCTTGCAAGGTTATCACATGAAGCTGCTGTGAAAAGGGCTAAAATTTTCACTTTTTTTTTTTTTAACACATTGCCTATTTCCCACTGAGGCAGGGTGACCAAAAAAGAAAGAAAACTTTCATCAGTCAACACTTTCACCTCACTCGTACATAATTACTGTCTTTGCAGAGGCTCTCAGATGCAACAGTTTAGACATCCCTCCAAACTGCCAATATCCTAAACCCCTCCTTTAAAGTGCAGGCATTGTATTTCCCACTTCCAGGACTCAAGTCCAGCTAATCAATTCCCCTGAATCCCTTCATAAAACATTACCCTGCTCACACTTCAACAGCTCGTCAGGTCCCAAAAACCATTCATCTCCATTCACTCCTTTCTAACACACTCGTTCGCGCTTGCTGGAAGTCCAAGCCTCTTACTCACGAAACTTCCTTTACCCCCTCCCTCCAACCTTTTCGGGGACGATCGCTACCCCGCCTTCCTTCCCCAATAGATTTATATGCTCTCTAAGTCATTCTACTTTGTTCCATTCTCTCTAAATGACCAAACCACCTCAACAGCTCCTCTTCAGCCCTCTGATTTCCTCCTAATTTCCACACTACAAATTCTCTGCATAATATTTACATCACACATTATTACCTTTAGACAAGACATCTCCACTGCCTCCAGCTGCCTCCTTGCTGCAGCATTTACAACCCATGCTTCATACCCATACAAGTGTTGGTACCACTATACTCTTGTACATTCCAATCTTTTTGCCTCCATGGATAACGTTCATCATCTCCACAGATACCTCAATACACCATTCACCTTTTTTCCTTCTTCAATTCTATGGTTTACCTCATCCTTCATAAACCCATCTGCTGACAAGACAACTCCCAAATATCTGAAAACATTCACTTCTTCCATACTCCCACCCTCCAATGTAATATCCAATTTTTCTTTATCTAAATCATCTGATACCCTCATTAACTTACTCTTATCTATATTCACTTTCAACTTTCTACCTTTGCACACCCTCCCAAACTCATCCACTAACCTTTGCAACTTTTCTTTAGAATCCCCCAAAAGCATAGTATCATCAGCAAAAATAACTGAACTCCCATTTTGTATTTTATTCCCCATAATTTAATCCCACCCCTCTCCCCAACACCCTAGCATTTACTTCTTTTACAACCTCATCTATAAATACATTAAACAACCATGGTGACATTACACATCCCTGCCTAAGACCCACTTTTACTGGGAAGTAATCTCCCTCTCTCCTACACACCCTAACCCGAGCCTCACTATCCTCAAAAACTCTTTACAGCAATTAGTAACTTGTTACCTATTTCATACACTTGCAACATCTGCCACATTGCTCCCCTATCCACTATCATATGCCTTTTCTAAATCCACAAATGCAATGAAAACTTCCCTACCTTTATCTAAATACAGTGGAACCCCGGATTTCGTCCTTAATCCATTCCAGAAGGTCAGCATAAATCCAAAACAGACGAAAACCAAAGCAATATTTCCCATAAGAAATAATGCAAATACAGTTAATCCATTCCAGACACCCAAAAATATTAACAAAAAATACATTTTTTAAAGAATAACTATAGTTTTACATACAAAAACAATGAGAAAGAAATATAAATGACTAATGAAATAGATAAATGAACATTTAACTTCACACTTACCTTTAGTGAAGACTTGGGGTATGGACAGTGAGGAGGGGAGAGGGAGGAGGAGCAGAGGTTATTGTTTGGAAGGGAAATTCCCCTTCATAAGGACTTCAGGTATCAAAGCCCTATTCAGGGTTACTTCCCTTCTTTGTCTTTTACTGGCACTGGACCTCTGTCGCACTAAAAATCTGTCCAGAGAGCTCTGTTTCTGGTGTCTCTAAGATCTGCCTAAAATGGGACAAGGTGTTGTCACCGACTATGTTGCAGATATGGCTTTTATCAGCTTGGTCAGGGTGCTATTCTTCCACAAAAGACTGCACCTCATTCCACTTTGCACAAATGTCCTTAATCACTGAAGAAGGCACCTTCTCCCCTCTCTCTCTCTCCCTCCCTCCCCATCCACTTCCTCCTCTGAAGCAATTTCCTCAGCTGTGGTCTGTTGCTGTTCCAGATGAAGGTTTCGCAGCTCTTCAGTGGTTAGCTCTTCCCTGTGATCCTCCATCAACTATTCCACATCCTGGCCACTCACATCCAACTCCATGGACTTCCCCAAAGACACAATACAGTGGACCCCCGGTTCGTGAAGTCATCGGTAACTGATAAATCTGGTACCTGAAGCATTATATCGCAAAAAATTTGCCTCGGTTCCCGTTACGCAATACGATTCATACGAGACGTGTCCACGTGTGGCCTGAACTGCCCCATGTGTGCCAGTGTTTACAAGTCAGCCAGTTTGCGCGCATCTAAAGATACATTCGGTACATTCCATATTATCCATATTATCACTGTTTTTGGTGCTTGTTTCTGCAAAATAAGTCACCATGGGCCCCAAGAAAGCTTCTAGTGCCAACCCATCGAGACCAAGGGTGCTAATGACTATTGAAATGAAGAAAGATACAGTGGTCCCTCAATAATCCTCCGGTCTGAAAGTCGTCCATTTCGGAAATAGTCCTGTTTTTTCGTCAAAATATTGGCTCGGAAATGGTCCGGTAACTCGCTAATAGTCCTTCGTCCCGGACGCGTACTCATGCTCTGAGCCGCCTCGGCCTTTCCTTCCCAGCCAGTGTGCCATTGTTTACCAGTGAGCGACGGTCCCCTCACGTGCTCCAGCATAATATTTCATAATATTCCATTTATTTTAGTGCTTGCAAGTTATTTAAGTGCTAAATAAGCTACCATGGCTCCAAAGAAAGCTCCTAGTGCCAAGCCTTTGGTAAAGAAGGTGAGAAATACGATTGAATTTAAGAAAAACATCATTGAACAATATGATAGTAGCGTACGTGTGGGCGAACTGGCCAGGATGTATAACAAATCCCGTACAACCATATCTTCCATCATAGCCAAGAAAGGAAATCAAGGACGCTGTTGTTACAAAGGGGGTAAATATGCTGACAAAAATGAGATCACCAGTACTCGAAGATGTTGAGAAGTCATTATTGGTGTGGATAAATGAGAAACAATTAGCAGGAGATAGTCTTATGACGTCGCTTATTTGTGAAAAGGCTAGGCAGTTGTATGATGATTTGGTAAAGAAATTGCCTGCAACTAGTGATGATGTGAGTGAATTTAAGGCCAGCAAAGGCTGGTTTGAGAGATTTAAGAAGCGTACTGGCATACACAGTGTGGTGAGGCTGCCAGTTCGGACCACAAGGCGGCTGAAAAAATATGTGCACGAATTCAAGGAGTATATAAACAGTGAAGGACTGAAACCTGAACAAGTGTTCAATTGTGATGAAACAGGCCTCTTTTGGAAGAAAATGCCAAAGAGGACCTACATTACTCAGGAAGAAAAGGCGCTGCCAGGACACAAGCCTATGAAAGACAGGCTGACGCTAATGTTCTGTGCTAATGCTAGTGGGGATTTCAAAGTGAAGCCGTTACTAGTGTACCATTCTGAAAATCCCAGAGTGTTCAAGAAAAACAATGTTATGAAGAGTAAATTGTGTGTGTTTTGGAAATCTAATAGTAAGGCATGGGTCACGAGGGAAATTTTTGTAGAGTGGTTCAATGAAGTGTTTGGCCCTAGTGTGAAGAATTACCTCCTGGAAAAGAAATTGGATCTCAAGTGCCTCCTAGTAATGGACAATGTACCTGCTCATCCTCCAAACTTGGATGACCTAATTCTGAAGGAGTTTGGGTTCATCACAGTAAAGTTCTTGCCCCCGAATACCACTCCTCTCCTCCAGCCCATGGACCAGCAGGTCATTGCAAACTTTAAAAAACTCTACACCAAAGCAATGTTTGAAAGGTGTTTGAATGTGACCTCAGACACTCACTTGACCCTACGAGATTTTTGGAAAGAACATTTCTGTATTCTCCATTGCGTAAGCCTTATAGGTAAGGCTTGGGAGGGAGTGACTACCAGGACTTTGAACTCTGCTTGGAGAAAATTGTGGCCAGATTGTGTCGACAAGAGGGATTTTGAAGGGTTTGGGGCTGACCCTGATGAGCCTATGTCAGTTGTTAAATCCACTGTGGCACTGAGGAGTTCCATGGGGTTGGATGAGAGTTTGGAGGATGTGGAAGAGTTGGTGGAGGACCACAACAAAGAGCTAACCACTGAGGAGCTGCAAGAGCTTCAGCAGAAAGAGCAACAGATTGCAGCTCAGAATCTTGCTGCAGAGGAGGAAGAGAGATGGAGGAAGGTGCCTTCTTCAGAAATTAAGGAGATTTTTGAAATGTGGGGTAGGATGGAAAGATTTATGGAGAAACATCACCCAGAGAAGGATGTTGCAAGCCATATCAGCAACTTGTACAGTGACAGAG